GCTTCTAATTCTATATAGTAACCCCTTAGAAATTTTTATAAATGTGCCCTAAAATGTTGCAAAAATCGGTGGATATGGCAGCACAAAAAAAATCAAAAAAAATATATTAACCTAAAATTTTAATCACATGATGACTTGCATATTATCTATCTTAATTTATATATTGAAAAAAACTTTTAAACATTTGTCTTGTGAAAGACTTTACTTAGTAGGAGGGATAGATTCGAGCTCAAAAAATAAAATAAAATTTATTTATTTATTTTATACATTTTTATTGGACAAAAAATTGAATATATGAACTAGAAGCACCTAATGTTTCTTCAGCCATTTGTTTTTTCCAACCTGCATAGGTCCTAGTTATCCAATTAGCAATGTCAAAATCTTTGGAATTTCTTCTTCAAGCTCTCCATATTCCACATATTCCAATAGTTTTGCATATTCAAAAAACCAATCTATGGTCAAATGACTATTATTATTGTTACCATCAAAGAAAAAATCAATACCAACACCCTAGTTAATATTACTAATGGTAATAGGTAAATATTGTATACTAGTTGGGTAATATTAATTCTTGTATTAATATTAATGTTTAGATCTATAGTAAATGATAGATTATTGTCACGCAATCATCAAAATATTCTAGTTGATATATATTACTAATGGTAATAATTCTTATGGTATATTATATATAACGTTATATTAATATTTATCTTTTTCTTTTGTTATGTGATCATCAAATAAAAAAAATTTAACATCATTTCTATTGATAAAGAACTCTTCCAATAATTTACCATCACCTATTCCAATCATAGAAACAAAACTTATTAGTAAAAACTTATATTATTTACTAAGGAATTATACATTTGAGATGTGGATCATAGAAGTTCACCTTGTTTCCATTGTCCATGCCTCGCCAATCCAATGATGTAACGTTATTCCTAAAAACCAAATGGTGGCTTCTTGTTTGTTTTATTGAAATTACAAGTTTAAATAATTTATTGTGACATGATTAAGAATTGAAGGCGTAACTTTCAACAAGTAATTCTTTTCCGTTTTTTTAGTAAACCATAGTTAAAATCTTGCGAGGAAATAAAATAAGTCTCAAAGAATGCGTGAGCTGTGAAACTTTCAATTTGATTTTTACGATCATTTAGTTTTAAAGGATAAAGACGAGAATAAGCCGTGAATTTGGTATTATTGAGATTACTCTTATGAATTAAGTTATTTCATTTATGAAACACTTTTTCCTTACATTCCTTCCGAGCAAGGTTGAATTACTGCTTTACCAGGAGAAAGAGGACAAGCAACTTATCCCTACAAGATATCAAGTTTCTGGTTAATGAAAAAATTCGTTTTTAATATTAATAGTAAAAATTGACAGTAGACGTGCCGATCGCGTGAAATGTCGTCCGACTGATATATGGTAATACGTAATAATAATACTGTGTAACTATTGACTAAGCACAATTCAAAAATCATTCAGCAGCCCCATATTTTTTTACTCGCTTCTGTTCTTGAGTATAAATAGAAGACTCTGAAAATATTATAAATATAAATATAAAATATAAAAATATCATATAATATTTATATAATAATATTCAAACATTTAAGCAAAAAATAAAAAATGTCTAATATAATTGTGGTATGTTTCAGTATTTCTTTTAAAAATGATAGATAGTAGAAAGATATATTTTCATAAAATCTAATAATCTAATGATGCATTATTTTGTTATTGTTGATAATTTGTAAAAAAAAAATTTTTTTTTGTAAAATAAAAATAGAATTTTAAAAATATTATTATTCATATTTATTGCTTTATTATTAATAATTAGCCAGGTGTTTATACTGCAGTTATGAAAGATGTAATTGAAAATGTGAAAAAAGACTTTAAAGACAGTGGAATTGATGAAGCAGTTTTATATGAACTAGAGCGCGTGAGCAATATTATAATTTTTTTAATAAATATTGCCATTATTATTGATTATTATATATACTTTTATTTAATATATATAAATATATATAATGATTTTTAGAATTGGCTACAAAAACTTAAAAGTTTCAAGGTTGCATCTTGGAATCATATTGATGGAAATGTAGGAGAGGAGACTAATGGCAATACAACAAATGTACCATTTATTCTACCCGCTACAACTACAGAATCAACTAATGTTTCATTAAAAGTAATTAGAAAATAAATAATAACATCATAATAGTAATATATAAATATTATTATATATGAATATTGTTATAATAAATCTATTTATATATTTCAGTACCCATCAAATGAATTTGAAAAGCCACCCCCAGCAGCTGCAGATCTTCCAACTCTTGCAATCAATTCTGATGCTACTTCTAATGGAATGAGAAAACCCCAATCTTATATGGTATCTAAAATATCTAATTTATTTCTTATTGTTATTAAAGATTATTAATAATATTCTATGCTACATGTTTTTCCCTGTTAAAATAATTTCTTTTTCGCGCCCTCCTCTAAATAATAAATAAATAAAAGGATGCTAATAATGTCTACACGAAATCAAATATACCTGATTCCAATAATAAATACCTAATCAATCATATAAACAATCAAAATCATCTTAATAACAATAATCATCATCATAATAATAATATCAATAATAATAATAATAATTCATTAACACAATCACAAACTCAATCATTATCATCATCTTCATCGCCGTCAATAGCACCAATACCACCACCACTAACGAGCGTTCCACAAATGAATATTTCACAAACAAACATTCCACAAACGACATATCCTGATACATATGAGAAAAAAAGAAAAGATAGCACCACTAAAAGGAAATCGTATGTTGATGGAGACGATATCAATTCTGATCTTGATGATTCAGATGAGGATGAAGCAGCTGCTGAAGGAGAATTTCAAAATATCATTTTATGTTTATACGATAAGGTGAAATAAAAAAAAATTTTCTTTACCATTATTGTTTTATTCAATTACTGAACATTATTAATATATTATTTATATTATCTATGTAGGTGACTCGCACAAAAAATAAATGGAAATGTCAATTAAAAGATGGAATTATGTCAGTAAATGGAAAAGAATATCTTTTTCAAAAAGGGAATGGCGATTTTGAATTTTAGTTGATATTGGTGGTAGTAAAAGTAATTAATACTAAAAAAATAATAATAAAATTTTAAATAATAAAAAAAAAGGGATTATAATAGAGATTTTTATAATATTAAAAAAAAAATTAAAGAAATGACTCATTCATTTTTATCAAATTATAAAAATTTATTATTATTTTATTATTATCATTTTGAAAAATAAAAATGTTGATTTGCTTTGCTTCCAGATCCATAAAATAAATAAAAATAGTTGATTTTATAGAGCAAAAATGCTTGCTTTTATTCATTTATCTAATGTAACATCTATTTCTATATTTAGAAGTCAATGACCATTTAGAAAAAAAAAGTCTACTTTTATTTGAGATGAATAAAAAATTATTTAAAGATAGGAATATTTGGACCCTAACCTTGCTGTCGAAAGGTCTCTGCTTCACTTCAATGACGTTAAATCTGGATTTAAAGAAAAATAAATGAGAGTTGTGGAAAATTTTTTATTATAGATACTGTGCACTTGTGATTATAGTCATATATATCAATAAATGATATAATCCATTTTAAAATTTTAAAATTAGTTGTCAAATAATTTTGAAGATTCGGCTTGTTGTTGTTGTTGTGTGATTATTACATTTGGGTAGGGATATTGTTGAAATTGATCGAATTGGTTCATGCCAGGACCTTCATAAAATTGTTGAAGATATAAATTTTCTTAAACCATCTCGCCGGCAGCACCAACTTCATTGTTGTCGTTGCTGTTACCATCTCCATTACTGTTATTATTTCTGTTGCTATTGATATTATTATTATCGTCATGGATGTTGTTGCCGTTGTTGTTGTTGTTGTTGTTGTTGTCATCCTCATTATTGTTGTTGCTGTTATCATCTTCATTACTATTATTATTATTTCTATTGCAATTGATATTATTATTATCATCGTCATTGTTGTTGTTGCCATTATTATTACTGTTGTTGCCATTATTGTTGTTGTTGTTGTAACATAGATATATACGTCTGTGCTCAGCAGCTGCAAGAACTGAAAGTTTTATAAAAAATAATCTTACTTCTAACGAAGTAATTTCCCATTCCTTTCTCGCATTAATTGAGATTCTGCTGGCCGCAAGATTTCTTTCTTGAAGACCTTTGCTAAAATTTCGTCTGAATAGAATGAATTCATTCTGTGGCCTAGGGATATAACTTTTTTTTAATGATCTACTTTTTTTTGGTTGGAGCAATTAGCTCTTTTATGGTAGGAAAATTTATTTTATACGGTGGATTGTCTAAAAGCGATTCGTTGTCGATATTCATCTTAAGATGTCTCCGTTCAGAGTAAGGAAAACTGCTGTGATATTTTTTTTTTCTCCGATTCTGCCAAATGTTCAATACTGATTGAGTTGTTGTTGGTCTAGGAATATTTAAAGCAGTCTTTGATTGAAAAATTTGAGACTTGTCAAGTGCAGCTATTATATGATTATTTGGTAAATGAATGGATAACGGAGGAAAAAGAAACTTTAATATAAATAAACTTTATTATAAACTAATATAAAAATAAAAAACTTTTTTTCTATATGATGACGATTGTAACACAAATTTTGAATTATGAAAAATTTTTTTTCTTAGATCTATGTAAAGTCATGTCACATTTAACAAGTTCATTAGCAGAAAGGTACAACATTATTTAAAGTATTCAATTCAAGTTACGATGTTTATTGTTTGTTATGTTTAAAATAAACCTTTATACGATTTTTTTATACTTGTATAAAGTCAAGCTCTTTATTTAGATCCAGGTATAAAAAAACAATTTTTTATCTCTCTAGATAAAAATAATCATCATACTAATCACTTTATAACACATATATAATCAGCGATCAGAGATTGGGTTCTATTGCCGATTATGGTAGTGATGGTGTTAGTAGGAATATTTAGAGATCAAGTAACAGTTTTACTAGGAGGAACGTCAACGCAAAAAAAAATGACACTTAAAGCTATTAGGGAAACAAGGGTATTGACGCGTGGTGCAACTCTAAGAAGTTATGGGAATCACATACCACCATTGTCATTTCAAAACAGAAAAACATATTTATCAAATGCATTAAAAAAAGGAGATTATTTAAAGAATCCAGCGGCAGCAAATCAAATGGTTAATCCTATGACAGATCCTCAAGGTATGGAGATGATGATGGAAGGAATGAAAAAAAATATTGCAATGATTATACCTCAAACTCTTATAATGGGATGGATTAATTTTTTTTTTTCTGGATTTGTGTTAAGTAATTAAAATTTTTTCTTTATAATAATAATTATTTACATTCGTTTATAATGTTTATTTATTTTATTGACAAAGCGTTTATTTTTTTCATTTTTGGGGTGTTAAGTTAAACTACCATTTCCACTTACATTAAGATTTAAATCAATGTTACAAAGAGGAGTTGAGACACCAGATATGGATGTGACTTGGGTATCGTCGTTATCATGGTATTTTTTGAATTTATTTGGATTGAGAAGTATTTTTACATTATTATTAGGCGAAGGAAATTCAGCAGATGGTGTTAGGGACATGACAGCAATGTCACAAATAGGTGCGCCGGCAGCAGGCCAACCACAAGATTTTGCTAAATTACACTTGGCAGAACGTGAAAATTTAGAATTAACTACTCATAATTGGGAATTGGAAGATATCGAGTATAGATTGTTAGTATTGTATGGTAAAAGAAAACCAAGGTCTAATAATGGTGGTGATAATAATAAAAATGAAAAAATTGATTATAATGAGAAAAATAGTAATAGTAATAACAATGGAATCATTACTGAACATAAAAGTAAAAATAGAAGAAAAGGCGGTAAAAAAGATTGAAAAATAATACATATATACACATGTACATATGTAATATTATAAGTTTGAGCGTATTTATTATTTAATTATTATATATATATATTAAAAAAAAACATTGTTTAGAATATATTTTTTTCAATAATAAAATTAATGGAAAAAAAAAACTAAATTATACTATAAATATGTGTTAATTACATTAATAATAATATTATTATTAATGAGATTGTAACATTAATCGTATAATGTACTAATAATATAATGTAAGATTGTGAAGTTGGAATATGGAATTTTTTTAACTTTTAAATTCTTCGTACAAGTATTTTATTAATAAGCAACATAATCAGCTCTTCTACGCTCTCTGTTGTTACGACGTCTACTACTGCTACTATTACCATCTCCAGATTCCTTGAATAAAATTAATAATATTCTAACAAAAATACCAACAAGATCTATGAATAAATCCAAAGTGTGTGAAACAACATCAAAAGACTTGAGGTGTGTTGCACGGTAAATAATAAGTTGAGTATCATACATCACTAATAATAATAAAATAATAAAATAAAAAAAAAATTAACTTTTTTTTCTCAAATTATTGAATAATTATATACTTTTATAAAAAATTAATTACCATAACCAGAAAACATTAAAAGTCCAAGGTAAAGTTCAACTGAATATAATGTTTTGGAATTTAAAAATATATTAACAAATGTCATCCAGAAATATATACTAAGAAGTGAACCTAATAATCCACCCAAATAAATAAATGATCTTTTATTGGTTAATAATGAAGCCAATGTGAATGATCCAAACACCAAAGCTGTCAATATACTAGCGTTCATAATTATTCGTTCTCTATTCATATTAGAGGATAATTGGAATAATTGTGAGGAATGTCAAATAATTTTTAATAATAATAAACTTATTTTTTTCAAACAAAATATATATATACATACGAATGATCAACTACAAGTATATAATCAATCAATGGCCCAATTGTGAGTCCTTCCATGAAGGCAAAGTTCTATTTCAATAGAAGAAAATTTATATTAAAAAATATTTCTTATTATAGATAAATAAAGAAAATAAATAAATTAAAACATACATATAAAAGTCCATAACGAATTGATTTATTATCAGGCGTATTAGGTAATGCTGTAATGCCAATAATTGAACCAAGAGCTAATAAAAATGAGAACGTCCCGCCCTAAATAAATTGTTTATTATTATTATAGTAATAATATTGAATAAAATTTTCTAATACGATTAATTGATGCAAAAACAACAATAATAGTAATTACCCCAAAGAAGAACAATCCGCTAATATGTGCATAAGTTCCAATTGCCGCAACAACACACAAGGTAGCAAGTGTACCGTATACTTGCGTTAAATGTCTTTTAACAGGTATTGTAAGATCACCGAAATTTTTAAATGCATCAAAAGCATTAGTGTCAAAAGTTTGAAAAGATGACATTTTTTTTTTCACCGAATTATAGATTTGTTTTTGTAAATATTATACTACTAAAATTTTAATGTAGTAAGCGAGAAAAAAAATACAGAAAGACAAAATTCAAAAAAATTAATAAATAAATACAGCAATGATACTTTGCCACGTTTCCAATATTGGTTATTGGTGATTATCTCGAAATTTCTAGTAAATTTTATTCAACATGAAAATTTATCATATCAAAAATAATAATATTATTAATAAATCATCATTATTAAAAGTTTTCATACCAATAATATTTAATATTAGACCAAACCTCAATAATTACAATATCGATAGATCATATTCAAGCTCTTCTTCTTCAAAGCGATGGCTTGCAAGAAGAGATCGCGACAAATTTATAAAAAAAGCATTATCAGAAAATTACAGTAATTATAATTATAATTATTCTTTTAATGATATGAACATATATGTGTGTACAATTAATTAATCAATTCATGAATAATAGGAGCTCGTAGTGTATTTAAACTGATAGATATGGATAAAAAATACAAACTAGTTAAACCTAATTCTGTAATAATTGATTGTGGGGCATCTCCTGGTTCTTGGTGTCAATATCTTTCAAGAGAATTATTTCCTGAATCCTATGATGATGATAATGATAATAATAATGAACAACAAGAATTACTAAAGGAAGAAAAAGAAGAAGCAAAAATTGCAGACCAATCATTATTAATAAAAACAGAAGAAAACAATAGCAATAATAATGGTAATAATAATAGTATGATAATTGGAGTTGATTTATTGCCAATTGAGATGATTCCAAATGTGAAAATAATACAAGGAGATTTTACAACATTTGAAACACAAAATAAAATTATAAAAATGTTGGGTGATAGAAAAGTTGATGTTGTTTTGAGTGGTATGTATATAGCTATTCTTTTGCATATTTATTTTATTGTGATTTTCACTCTTTTTAACAAATATATTTAAAAACTAGATATGTCGCCTAACTCTTCTGGTCAACATTTTATAGATCATGTTAGATCAATGGTAATTCAATAAATCTTATTTATTATATTTCTTTTTTAGTGAATAAATTTATAATTTTGTGGATTTGTTTTTGGGGGGAATAAAGGAATTATGCGAGTCCACTTTAATTTTTGCTGAGCAAGTATTGAAATCTGATGGAACTTTGCTTTGTAAGGTACGTTACATCAAACACTTGTGTTATATATATTTATATTAATAAAATTATTTCAAAACTAGTTCTTGATGGGAGGCGACGAGAAAGAATTTAGAGAGAAATTGAAAAGTAAATTCAAAAAAGTTATTCATGAAAGACCATTGGCTTCGCGTAAAGAATCAACGGAATTATATTATGTTTGTCTAAAGTACATTCATTAACAGAAATATTTCATGCCAATCAAAAATTATCTTATTTTACTTTATTTTATTATAACATATATACACACATAAAATTACATTTAAAAACTCACATGTCCTATAATCTACTTACTTGACTGGTTGTTTACCTTTAACATTTCCTTCATTATTATTATTATCATCATCATTATCATTGTCATCATCCTCACCGTTATCATCATCACTATCACTGCTATTATCATCATCTTTACTATTATTATTTTCAATTGATTTGTTTAAAACTCTTGTGATAGTTTTAACTTCTTCACCACATCTTAAACATTGCCAACTTCCATCTTCCTGGATTAATTTGATTTTAATACAGTAATAACAATACTTGTGACCACAGTTTGTTTCATATGGGTTATTAATTTTTGTAGAAAGCATTGTTGTTGCAGCACCACCACCAGAACTATTGGTTAAGGTAGATTGAGCAGATTGATTTTCATGACAAATAGCACAGATATGCAATGGCAAGAAATCGAGTGTGCGTGATTTGGTATAAGATGCTGGAAGAAGATTACGTTTTAAAATGTTTTTGACTTTACGTAATTTGATAAGCGGCATCAAGAATAAAAGAAATTCCTAACCAAAAAAAAAAATATTTGATTTTTATGAAAATTAAATTTGAATTGATTATAAAAATGGGTTTTTTTTATTTGTTAAAAAACGAAACCTACTGTGAATGTTTGCCAGACCAATTGTCGATTTAGAAAGTCAAAACTAACTTGTCGGTTTATTGCTCTACGAGCATATACCAGACGCATTGAAAATAATCGATCAAAAATAGATCGGTATCTAAATTATTTATTATTATGATGATAATAAATTGTTTTGCTACGGGTTTTTTGTGTATTCCTGAAAATATATATTTAATTTTATGTAATACTTACTTTCCGTTATATAAGAATATTAAGAAATTTACTAGTGATGACATTTTATATAAATTTTCTAATTTTTGCAAAAATTTCCAAAATATTTTGCGCGGATCATCCTATATAATTAACATTAATGTTAAAATTAAAATGAATATTTATAGTATTCATTATTAAACAGTAATATTTAAATGCAAAATAATTCACATACCTCATCTAACTCACTCCATCCTTGAGCTATCACCAATCTATTTATACGCATCAAAACATATTGTCCTCCAACTGTCACAATACCATATAAATACTTTTGAAATTTTGTTAATGGTGCATCCTTTGCTATTGATTGCACTACATCATATCATGTTATAAATTAACAATGATTATGATTATGATAACATTAAAAATAATAACAATATTATTAATTTAAAATTTGAAGAATTTTAAAAAAATCTCAAATAAAGTAAATGAATAATTTCACACATCCTCCTCCGTGTTGTTTCTCATTTCGATATTTTAAATTTAATAATTGCGCTCCGTAAGATGCTCCTGTCTCATATATTGAAAATCGATACATTATTAGTTGTAATATGGCAAGTAATTCTGGTTCAAATGTTTCTTTAAACCAAGGCTACAGTTATAATAAAAATGAAAAAATATGAGACGTATTATATAGTGATTTAATTATCATATATGTCTATCATATAAATGATAATCAACCAAATAATACTTTGAATAGTGAAAATATCTGCCATAGTTGTTCTTTTAACGTATCAAACAATTCAGAATCTAACAACTCAGCATCTAATTGACTAACACGCATTATTCTTAAAGGAAAGGATGGAAAGGTGCTCAACGGGTTTTTGGAAAGCGTGCTTTCTGCACTTTCCCAATCCTCCCTCCAAAATGCATTTTCATTATTCGAAGTCATATTAATATTGAGTTAAAAACTGAGATCTTTGACGATCTTTTCTTTTATACTGGAGTAATAATGGTTTTCTATTGGTTGATCAGACAAATTTGGTGACGTTTGATTTTATAGGCCTGTTTTTATTATTTATATTATTATTTTTCGGCCCAAATTTAAAATTAATATTAAGGGTAGTTAGTCCTTTGAAATCATCTCTTTGAACAAGGGAAGAATTTTAGAAATAATAACTAAACATCTAGACTTCCGTATCATTCACCATTGACTTACCAAAAATGGTATATAACTATTTCTCACTTCAGATAGAACGTGTAACACAAACTAGTTAATTGATTGGTTATTTCTGTAGATCAATTCAAATTTAAAATCTTACTAAAAAAGGTATAATTATATCCATTTTTTTTATCAATGATTCAAATAATAATAATAATAATAATAATAACAATAATAAATAATAATAATAATAATAACTAAAATATACCATTATAAGAAGGAAAGGGAAGGATTTTTTAAAAAACATCTGTGGGGTGTATATCTCTAGTTTCATGATAAAAATTCAAAAAATTAATTCATTTCATTTCTGTTGTTATATTCTTAATAAAATAAGCAAATAATTGCTAACAAATAGACGTGTATAAACCTTTTTTTCTTATTGCATCAAGGTCTCTCCTTCTTCTTGGAAAGAACTATTTACACATAATTTCAAAAATTAAAGGAAAATTTTCATTGTGTGCACAAATCAAACAAAAAGGGTTTAGAGCAACAATATGTATATATTTAAAAATGACTAATAAACACAATATGATGATCTACGCAAAACTTTAAAATTTGTAATTGACTTTTTTTGTAACTTGAAAACATTTCTTTAAAGAACTTCATAAAATTTCTTTTCGAAAACCACAAAAATAAAACAAATTTCCATTTTCCACTTTTCATTTACAAATTTTACATATTAAAGCAACAGCTCTGCTACGATAACATCATTAATATAAAATTAATTATTCAACATTCACCAATAATTTTCACCAACTAATCAACTAACCCCAACCCATTTGTCAAATTAAAGAAATATGGCAGGAGCTTTTAATAGTACTAATAGTAATAGTAATAGTAATAATAATAGTGGCATTAATAAAATTATGCCAGAACAAGAACAATTTGTTTGTGAAATTACTGGCAACGATAGGCGGGAAGGCTATTATTATACCTGTATGTTGATACATATTTATTTATGTTATTTTTCTTGGATTCTTAAAAGTCTAAACGTTTTATTTCAAATTTTTTATTTATTTCATGGAATAAAAGTGGGTAAAAAAACTGGATGGCGTTTTTGCAAGTATCATTTGATCTTGTTATAATTAAAAAAAAGTAAATTCTATGGATTGTATATATATAACTCATCATACTTTTCCTCTCTATATATATACAGGACGAAGCATTTCGGAATGTAAACTATTATATTAATAATTTTAATAGTAACAACAACAACAACCAAAATGGTAACAATAATAATAACAACAACAACAATAATAACAGCGCTCCAAGTTTTGGAGAAATTGTTTTCCAAAACTTGGCGGCTATCAACAATATCGATATCAATCTAAAAATAATCAAAAAGCCAAAAAACAAATGCTGTTTTGATGGCTTCGGTGTAGATGGATTAATGTTTCTAAGAAGTAACAACCTGGAAATTATTGAAAGGCAGAGGTAACTTCTTTAATTGTTGTTATTGGGGCGGGGGTATAGAGAGAAAAAGTAATCAAGTTCGATAGATAATATTCATTAAGGATATTTTATCCTAACTTTTTTTCAATTTCATTTGATAGCGTGATTTATTGTATGGAATTGGCGGAACAATTGAAGTACAACTCTTTAATAATCTGTCTAGACAGAACAAATGCCAATCTGAGTAAGTATATTAATTAATAGATATTGATGATTAGTGCTTTTACTTGAAATTCACAAATCAAAATCAAGTGATAATCACGTAATTTCATTGGGTAGATGAGTTTCATGACACAAACACTATTGACATTGTAAAAAATAAAAATACTAATTAATATCAATACATTAATCAATATAGATACATTAATACGTGATTATATGAATTTTAATTTCGAGTTGATATTGCCTGAAACGTTTAATATGAACTTTTCAGGTTATATCCTTCTTGGAATTGAATTTTAATATACACTTATATATATACATACACCCAAACCTATAAATACACATACATCCACGCATACATCAACACACACATTTATATTTTATTATTGTTGTTATTATTGTTGTTGTTGTTATTATTATTATTATTGTATTATTTTTTACAAATTTCATTATTTTATTTATTTTTTATATTACATTTATTACATAGATTGGTTTTTACATCATCATTTTCACAAAAAAACTCAATTCTATATATACAGATACCAAATAATATTAAATACTCAATATTCATGATATAAAGGTTTTCCTATGACAATCAATTCATTTGCTGTTGTTTGATAGATTGCATTTCAATCATGAAAGATAAGAATTTTACTCCTTATCACACTAACTTGACATTATCTATTATTTTCTTCCCTTAATAATTATATTATTTTTCCAAGAATTCAAGTGGTCTATCTATCATCATTTACTACATTCTCTATCATGCATTTACATTTTATCACATTTTCCACAACGGTTTCTTAATTGAAAAAAATCCTCATTTTTTAATTTTATAAATTTACTTTTCAAAAATTTTTTGCCATTTGTAAAGCTGATTGTTTAGGGATTCCTTATATTTATGAGCTTTTGGCTTTTTCATAGTGGCAACTACGATTTGAAAAAAGGCGCATTAACAGAAATTCTTTAACACTCAAGGAAAAAGAATTTCCAAGGCGCTGACCATAACTTTATAGAGAAAGCCCCAAATCGCTGCTCCACCAAAAGACTCTATATGACTAGTTTTACTTTCTGTTACGACCACACTATTATTTACAATTTAAAAAATTCCAAAAAAATATATTGATTGTTTGTCCTTCCAAACATCTAGGCCTTATTCCTCCTACATTTGGATTTTATGAAAAACAATAATATGAGCAATCAAAGAAAAATCAAAAAAGAAAGACAATCTATGGTCGTCGCACTGACCAGAATTTTTGACACAAAACAGCTCGTCACACAACCTGTTCACGGGAATTGAAGAGCAAGAATACAGATCCCAATTCGTAGAGCTGGAAAAACCACATTTCCCTATTGTCCTTATATCATGATTTGTGATTTGCTCATGTATTGTATCATAAGCCTTTATAAATCCTCCATTTCATTCTAAACCATTTTTTTTCTCAAAAAGAATGTGCGTATATTAAAGAATATATATGAGGTAATGACTTGTAGCCATTAATTAAAGAACATGGTCACATCTATTTTTATAAGTAAACTTATATAGGAATTCAAGAAAATAAATGATTATAATACTCCATCACTTGGAATATTTGAAGTTAGTTGTATGATTATTTTAATTCGAGTTTCTTTGTTCCTCTGATCCTGCCAACGAATACTATTTTTCCACATCACCATAAACAACTGCGAATAAATCTTTCAATCTGGATCTAAGCGAACTACATGATCACCTTCACTAGTGTTCAAAGGGTAAAAATTTTACCATCTACCTCTTTTTCAAATTTACACTGACACTCATTCCATCAATCATTATACTGAAACCAAATCGCCCATTTGTTGTTGTTGCTATTTCAATATTCAATTCCATTCTCCATTAATCTTCATCTTTAAGATCTCATTAGAATCATCCAAGCTTATACATAATAACAGTTATAGAAAGCAACCTTTAAAGAGCAGTCGAATCGATAAGGACGAATCTTTTTTGTAATTTTGAATGAGGTAGAATAGTGAACAGGCTGTAACCCTCTACCTCTTCTTATAATTCTTCTGCCATTTGTATCTGCTTGGTGATTTTTCTCAAAATTCTCGAGGATCCTCCAAAGCAATCTCTTCAAGCTTTCATCAGATAGAGATTATTTTTCAGAATAATCTTTTCGCTTTACAAAAGATAAAGTGAAACTGAATTACAATAAAGATGTGGTCGGGATGGCATTTGATCGTTTTTCCAGCCTCAAGGATCCAGTGAAAACGATGTTTTCTCAGAATTAGTAAAGTATGGTTCTCAGAATTAGCTGAACATATTAATTTGCAGATGAACTAATTCTTTGTCCAAGATTGCTGAAAAAATAAAGTTTATATATTAATCAAATTTCTGATAAAATAAATAAGCTCAAATAATTGCCTTATATTATTTCAAAAAAATTTGTAGAATTTAATATTCTTTGGAATATATATTTGATTGGATGCCAAAATGATAATAGTAGTAGATATGCAAGGAAGGATAACACGTTTTAACCAAATTTGAATATCATCTTATCTATACAGACTTTCGCAAAAACCAGCAAATTTGTACAAGGATGTATATTTACACAATATATATTGCTAACCAATCTTGTTGCCTCAAATATGTTGGAGGTCTTGAATTTTAATTGGCCCAAGTGTAGAATAGGCAAGAATCATTTAATTGTCAACCCTTATTTGAAGTATTGACTGGATATGGGGCATGCTGCAACAAAACCAGATAAAGTGAACATTGGTATTACCAAAAACTTCAGGGATCAAAATTTGTAATGTGATTATAATTTGTTATCTTAAGTGATATTATAGAATTACCATACATAAATAATTATTAATGGGAAAACTCTTTCTGCTGATCATTTGAATAAAAATTTTCAAAGAATTTACTGTTTTAATTAAAACAACCAAATCAAAAACATATTTTACTTTATTTTTCATCCATACAATAGTTATTAATCCTAGTTAAGATGTCAAATAAAAGAAATCGTAATAAAGCCAAAACTGGGCAAAGTCCACCTACTCCTGCTTCAGCAAAAAAGAAAATTGACAGCTCTTCTTCTCCTTCTGGTTCAGTCTGCCCTCAAGAAGACTACTACTTGATTACTTGTATTAACTGCAATCAAACATTTGTTTATACATTAACAAATGAACATAATAATACTAATCATTGTTTTGGGCAAATCTTTGCTCATAAAAACAATAAATCTTTTACCTGTAATTTGGATTGTTCATTCAATAAGCCAACTGATCTTTGTCCCTATTAAACTTCTAAACTCACTATTAATACATCTATGGAAATTATGGATACAAAATCTGTCTCTTCCGACAATACAATCTCTTCCCAAGCCACTCACCAACTCAAAATCTCTTCCATAACGTTACATCAAATGTTACACTTTATGTTGCACATACTGTACCAAATGTTGCACTTAATTTAGATACACAGATGATCTAATCACCAATGCTAACACCAACACTAATAAACAGGATTCATCTTATCATATGCGCGCATTTTTACATTTTGATCCCCAATTAATTATTTCCGCAGCTGTGATTGGCCATCTGACTGATCAACTAATGAAAATCACCCCAAAATATTTAAAATATTCAGAAAAACAAATATTCATTATTTTTTTATTATAGTCAAACCAATCCTTCCAATCCTTCCAACATCTACCCAACGTCTAATTTACTACAAATAAGCTAAAATGTTAAAAGTTGTTACATTATTTATGTTAAAGAGTTATTTTTTGTACTACAGCGAACCCTCCATAAGTGCACCCTCTATAAATGCATCCCTCCATAAATGCACGCTATGTCTCATTCCCAACCTCGGGAATTAGAGATAAATGCACGCCCTCTATATTCTGCACTACACGGTATAAAACCACCCTCTCTAAATGCACGTCCGTGACTTTCACGTTATTTATTTGCTAAATAAATTCGTGTTGCATTAATTAATTCAAACGTTATTTATATCTATTTATCTTTGTTACCTCTTTTTTAATATTAGTAATGGAAAATAAATAATTAAGTAAGCTACTGTTGCTTAAAAAGGATTAAATGGATGTTGTTAATTCTTTCTTTTAATTGACAAAGCGTTTATTAGAATAATAATGATAAAAACACAAATGGAGAAATTATATATACGCGAAATTAAAAAATCAAGTATTAAACAAAGGATAAAAGATCACGAATTTTTTTTTAAAATTTATGTTTAATAAAAGTAACCAAAAATAAAATAATAAAATTCTAAAAAACAATTAGGACAAGTTTAATTTGAAAAAAAAAAAATTCAATGAAGCAAACCACAATGAAACAATTTTTTTAGTCAACAAATAATATATTTATTATGTAATAATAATAGTAATTAAATATTTAAAATCGTACAATAATTATTTTTATTAGTATCACGTGCAACCAATAAAATTCTTCCCCTCTATAAATGCATCCCTCCATAAATGCACACTCTCATCCATTCCCAAGGGGGGTGCACTTATGGAGGGTTCACTGTATAATGAAATGTGAAAATTTTTAACTTATATAATATGACTCATTATACAATAGGTTCACTATATCCAGAGCCGACTGTATTATATTTTCCTTACACTGTTACACAAGCAAATCATATTGATTGGTTGGTTGGTTGTTGATTAATATACACTACCTGGAAAAAAGTATTTGGACACCTATTTACATTAATTACCCAAAAACATACATAATACCCGCACATAAAATTTATATTATTTTATAGCTTAGGTTTTGAAGAATATTCATGTAAAATTTTATTTTTTCAGCTTATGCGAAACCTTAATAAATAAAAAAATACGAATTTCAACCAAAATTTTTTTTTCCATTTTGATCGTCAAAATTAAATTGGAAACAAAAAAAAATTAATATTCAGTTGGCCATCCTTCATTAGAAATGCATGCTTCAATTCTTCTTGGCATGCTTTCAATGAGTGTATGCAATTTTTCGTAAGGAATTTGCTGCCATTCTTCTTTCAGTGCAATTTCCAGTTCACTTGCATTTTTTGGATGATTTTTTCGATTTTTTAATCTCCTTTCCAGCTCACTCCAGAGATGCTCAATCAGATTAAGATCAGGCGATTGAGACGGCCATTCTTTTAATATTTTTACTATGTTTGTTTGCATCCAAATTTTAACATCATTGGCTGTGTGAACTGGTGCATTATCATCTTGATAAAAATAACCTCTCCCATCAAAATCACTCTCTATTAATGGTAACAAGTTCTTTTCTAAAATCTGAATATAACCGAAATGATTCATTTTTCCATCAACCTTCACCAAAGGACCCAGAAAAACACCCCCAAACCATTATTCCACCACCACCATGCTTTACAGATGGAACCAAGTTTTCAATGTTATACCGAGTCCCATCTTTTCGCCAAACATGTGTTGGTCCATCATTATGAAATACAGTAAATCGAGATTCATCACTCCATATCACAGACTTCCATTTTGCAACACTCCAACTTCTTTTTCCTAAACACCATTTTAATCTTTTTATTCTTTGTTCATCAGATAAAAGAGGTTTTACTGCTGCGGTACGTGAATAAATTCCAAGATCATGAAGATTCTTTCGGATTGTTCTTGTGGAAACCTCAACACCACTTTTTTTAATAAACTTTCTTTGTATCTGATCTAGAGAACTGCAATTATTTTTATCAACGATTTTTTGTAAAGTTTTCTGGTTTTCTTTATTTAAAGATTTGGGTCTTCCACTCCTTGGTGCACTTTTCATATCGTCAGAATTAGAATAATGTGCTATAGTATATTGAACTGTGCTTTTAGGGATTTTAAGCATCTTAGATATCTCACGAATACTTTTACTGCTAGCACGGAGACCCAAAATTTTTCCTCATTCTAATTTTGTCAACTCTACTGTTTTTACCATTTTTTAAAACAAAGATTGCAGATCATCACTTTAGATCTTGTTGGCCTTTTATTTGATAAGGTACTACTAAACATAATAGAAAAGTAATGTTTTGCATAGATACTCTTCGAACCTAAGGGTTTAATATAATATAAATTTTACGCATAATAATTATGTGGGTTTTTGAGCACTTTGATAAACAATTTTTTGTTCAAAAAATTTTCGATTGAAGTTTGGATTTTTTTATTTATTAAAGTTTCACATAAGCTGAAAAAATAAAGTTTTACATGAATATTCTTCAAAACCTAAGCTATAAAATGATATAAATTTTATGTGTGGGTATTATGTATGTTTTTGGGTAATTAATGTAAATAGGTGTCCAAACTTTTTTCCAGGTAGTGTATATATGTTAAAAAATAGATATAATTTGTACTACCGCTTCAGCATTGTGACCTGAAACTCTTTTGGCTTCCCGAAACGTTTTGGAAAATGAACTGACACTAAGCAGAAAAACTAAAACTAAACCTAAACCTAAGAATAAATTACTAACCTAAACTAGTTTCAGGTGGTTTCTGTTAGTTTCCGTTTTGGGTCTTCCCTAAACCCAGAGTTTTGGGTCACAACACTGTACCACTTAGAACGTTGTTGATATAGACATGTTAGATCTCGAAGTCAAACTTCCAATATTAGTCAAAATAGGTAAACAGTTGATTCTATCCTTAATCTGAACAAAGTTATCAATCATTTTTTCTACATAGCACTTTACTATCAATGAACTTTTCAAGAAATTTTCTATGACTTGACAATCTGAAACTCTCAAGGGGATTGAATATTCTTAGATCAATAAAAAGAATTACTAAAAATGTCAATCCTAAAACTAACATGTGATTACATATAACTTGAATCCCTATGAATGGAATTTAAAGGACCTCTCTGATTAGGCACTTTGATTCATCACACTCAAAATCTTTCCCCTCAAATAATTTGTTAAACCTAGCATCAATTCCATTCTTGCATAGACAATTTATTCTTTTCCAATCATCTCCCTTCTTGTCTGCTCGAGGGTCTAATTGAGAAATCTCAGTAAAAGAGAGCTCTCACTTAACTGAATCCAACATCAGGAGAACCTTTATGTCTGGTCTATCCCCAGAATAGATAAAATGCATTGCCACTTTTCATTTTTGAGACGAATCAGACACTTTCTCCCTAAAAATACAAATTTCTCAGTTATTATATCATTATAAAGATTATAAAGCATTCAAAGTAATATACCATGCATGTTTGAGATTCCACTTATAATAATTAAATATAGGATCTATAGCCCTGGAGACTGCATGGATTGCATAAGTGCTTTCACTATATTCACTTTCACCTAATAACAGTCTCAAACTCCAACAATTCCTCCTATAAAATTAATTGGTGAATAATCTTAATTGGGCAAAGAAATAGAATCAATTGTATTATTCTACTCATAGTCCTTCTAACAAGTCATAAGTCATAAGTAAAATCCTGCATGCACTCAAATTTATTTCATCCTGCAGAAAAGTAATAGGGGTGGCAAGGGCAGGATCAAATTCGGGTCCTAATAAGCTATAACCATTGATAAATAGCACCAGTTTTCTCTGAAAAATCCAGCTTACTCAATTCAACTTCTTTAAGAATGTGTTTTGTCTCTTCTGACAACTCATCTACCACCTTATCCACTCCTTCAGCGATATCCACAATTCCAGATGCTATCGGATTGTTGGAATCAATAGAAGCCAAATCTAGCCTTTCTAAGCATCCACAAACATCATTTAACACTCTTTCAATTTCCATAGAGTGACCACTATTTACTTATCAATCTGATGATGAATTCAACATTAACCCTTTTAAAAATAATGATAACTTCTATAATATCTTATTCCAAATAATTTGTAAGATCACCTACACAATTATTAACTATTTCAGCTATATTTCTTTGGACAATTTCTTGATTCTGTTGTTTTTCTTGTTCTCCGCGCTAATTCAAGAGTATTTTTGATTAGTCTGATAAGCTGGGCTTTTTCCAAAAAAATTAAATGTAGTAGTCACCTGTTTTTTTCTGTCTGGTATGCTTTGCTAAACATTTGTTGTCGTTTATCCTGTAAAAAGTAAAAGATACTATAATATTTTGATAAATATATCATAAAGTGTTTTTCAAAAATTAGAACAGTTAAAACGTCTTCATGATCCAATATTAACAATTTTTAGCAAGTTAGCATGCCAATGGATGATGATGAGATACATGGAGGCATTGCCCATATTGAATCTAGCAAAATTCTTGGACAATGCAACTCATGCACCTGAACCTTTTCAGCTAGCTTTCTGCAGAGCTAAGGCATACATATAATTGTTGTGTATGTCTGGATTCAGGGCATGAACATAAGCCTATGTTGTCTTTCCTCACACCATTACAAATAAAGAAGCATCATCTTAAGTGTTCAAGATAGCATGTGTGCCTTCAACGTCTGTAAATTTCCAATAATCAAACATTGCATATCAAATTGTTTCTTTTTCAACAGTCAATGCTGCCTTGACGTCTTGTAATTATAATAATATAGTATTAGTATTATTATTACAATTACGCAAAGCAAAATATTATCAATGAAAATCTTGTAATTACCCAGCAAGATCTGTTCTGCATTTTGATTCCAATTAAAATATAAGCTAAAATACATATCAATACAAATTAAAAAAAAGTACCTCTGGTTAGTTATTAACACGTTTCTTTAGGAGACTCAAACCAAACCAAACAACAACACTCACATTTTGTCACCTTGGACACTGTCAAAAATTAAATTGTTTTTTGTTTTTCCAAAAAAAAAAAAAAAAATCAATCAATCAATTCGCATCTGTCCTCCCAAAAAAAAAACCAATAGGATAAATAATTAGTGTATACGCATCGATCAAATCACAAACCCCTTTTCTAAAAAATTTTTTTAAAAATATCATCAGGAAATAATAGAAGACAAGAAGATAGCTGAGGCGCTTATGAGTAAGTGTTTTAAGAATGGTGGTGGTTATCGCCCGCCACTCGTCGTTACTCTAGTTATTATTAAATATTCCTATTCCATATTAGTAATAATTTAATGTATTTATTTTTTTTTTATTTTTTTTTTTGGGACCAACATCTTGCATCCATATCAATGAACATTAATTTTATACTGACGATTTTGACTCAAATTACATCTTGCGTCTTGAGTTGCGTCATGTGTCTCAAATTACATCTTGCGTCATGGATTGCGTCTGTGTCTTGCTCAGTCACATAAAATCATGATGAGTGACGAAATGTCAATTCTCCGGATTTTTAATTGCATCGCAACTCAATAATTTTGACCACATGTATATGTCACAACATTGATAATATTGTTCTTTAATTTGCAAAATAATAATAAATTGCATCACCCATGTAATGATAATATTAGGACCATGAAGAAATGAATTTTTTAAGGAACCCGATTTTTCAAAATAATAATGTGTGTGTCGATTCAGAATCTTTGAGATTCGCAAAAATAAATAAATGAGGAAGATCAGAAAAAAAAAATTTTTCCTTCTTGTATAGTTCTTTATGAATAATATATCTGATGATGTTGGTCACAGGTGTCAGATTTAATAAAAGCTTTCCTATCACAAACATGCAAGACTGTGCAATTAAGCACGTTTCAGCACCATGGAGCTTTTTTTCCACAGGTGAAAGGACTTGAACTTGTTGGAAGGCTTTTTCAAGGTGGACAGACAATAAAAATTTCCTTATATTTTCCTCAGACCAGGCTTGGCTGCTACCATACAGCATTGATTGTTAACAAAAGTTGACATTTGTTGTTCTACTAGAGTAAAGTTGGTGCCTGCAACTGAAGAAGTTGCAACCTGGGTTTGTCACCTTGTTGAGGGAGCTGTCTACTTAGAGCAAGAAATGATTTGGACAAAATCCCAGTCACTTATCCTATTTAAAAAATAATAAATTTGGTTGACCAAATTAAAAATTTACCAAGAAAAAGAAATTTCAAAAATTGATTAAATTGTGCAAAACATACCAAAATCCAAACTGTTTATGACTTTTTTCTTGGTCCTTTTTGAAAAAAGTCCACTTTGATATCAGGGATCAGCTTAGACGTTTAATCTATAGGGGAAGGGACCATTTGAGAAAAAGCCCATGTCCCCTCCCAAATTATAAATTTGGTTAATAATCAAAGAAAGAGATAATTTAGGAAAATCATTAAAACAAACACTATTTTATAACTTTTCTCTTAACATCAGAGAGCACAAATTCAATTTCAAGGTCCCTAATCCTATCCTGTATTGCAAATTCCTTCCAGAGCTTGAAATGAGCTGCAGCAATTTATCATTGCCTCAATGAATCTAGATGTTGATGTATACCTAAAATCACAACTCCTCGACTGGGCTGCAACCTCCAGAGTTGTATAACTTTTTGGTTGCAGAGCCAGACACCTTTACCCTTGAGGTAGGATCATTGCAGGCAACTTCAGTCAGCATGTCAGCAGCTTTCTCTGGTGAGGCAGTATGAGGAAAAGTTTAGGTAAAATTCACAAAATGTCCTTGACAATGATGCAAGCTTTTATAAATTCCAGGGCCATACACTTCCCCTGAATTTTGTTGCATCATCATATCATTGGTGAACCATGGTCAGATTAGCCTTGTGTACATGAGGAAGATGAGAAAATGACTGTAAGTGACAATGTAGTGTGTAAGCCTCAACACTTTCCAATTTACAATGTCGTATATCAAATTGTTTCCCTTCCTTTCTCCTCTGCAACAGTCAGTTGTATTGCCTTGACATTTTCATGTAATTATATATTTAATATTAATATTATTAATGTTGATTATGAAAAGCAAAAATGATACCAATCATTTATCATGATAAAGAATCTTGTAGATGCAAGTTCTGCTCAACAGTTGGATTTTGCAATAATATTTATTAAGTAAAGAATCAATCAATATTTCTTAAAACAATAAATAAAAAAATACAATAAAATAAAAATTGCATACCTCTCACCATCAATAAACAACACTTTGTCTTTCTTTAGGGGAGGCATATCAAATAACAACAACGTTCACGCTTTCTCATCTTGTAAAAGATAAATTGTTTTTCCAAAAAAATAAATTGCGTCGTGTCAACAATGGGATGTACAACCCATATTGGGGAAACCAAATAATAAAATCAAATATATAGTAAGGATTTCGTGTCACGTAAACATGCAGATCAAGTTTTTATTAAAAAAAATTTTAATTTAATTTTCTTTTGTATATATACTAATATTGATTTTAATAGAATTTCTCAAAAAATTTATAACTCTGGAAACAGAATAGCTACAGAAAAAATCCAAAATGATTATTACTCCTGAAAAACTTATCTACAACGTAACAATGCAAATTTTTGTGTTTACAATAAATTTTTAGAAATTGTGTTAATAAACACCTAGAATTTTGACAAAAATTACATTTAGTAATATGCAAGCACATCAATGTTACAAGTATTTGCAAAAAATAGCATTGTTACGTTGTAAACACATATTTTGGGAATACAAAACACTTTTCAGAATTGGAAAAATCCATCTGTATGTTGAGTAAGGTTGCTTGCCAAAACTCATCCAGGAATCAATCAGCAGGGTTTCGGTAGGTTACACATTAATTGTTTATTAGAGTTTTGGCAGAGTTTAACATTTTGAGGTTTTGCCTTTCGGCATAGTTTCAACAGGATTTTTGATAAGATTTAATATAGTTTTGCCATGGTTTCAGCAATTACTAAGGA